TTGTATTTTTCATTAGAAGCCCTGCCCTTAAGGGAAACTCTTTAGGAGAGACTATCAAGCTGGGGTTTTATCAGAGCCTAACCAGTGAGAGAAGATACACAGACTCTAGCCCTCTCTAACCCTTCCTGTGTCATAAAAAGAAGGGGGAAAAGATGAGATGCACTTGGAACGTCATAGCCCAGGGGCCCAGGCTCACAAAAAGACAGAAACCAAATCCCAGGAACACAGAATATTTTCCCTCCCACCATGCCCCCACCACCTTATCAGCAAAGGTCACGTATAATAACAGGTCATTATAACTGAAAGAAATGCACCTCAGGTCTTATTAAAGAATTTTTTTACAGAAACTCAAAGACAATAGGAGTATTGAAGCAGGGACATCTGAACAAATTTTAGCTTTTAACACATACAGCCATGGCAAACCATAAACATAGCCTAACTTCTAGGCAGATAAACACAAAACTTCACATTATAGGCCAATTTACCCTAACTCCTTATACTCAATACAAGATGCCCAGTTTTCACAAAAAATTGCAAGACATAATAAAAGGAAAAAAAAAACCACAGTTCAGAGAGACAGAGCAAGAATCAGACCTACAATCAGCTATTGCCAAGATATAGGAATTATCAAGCCAAAAATTTAAAACAACTATGATAAATAAGAATATGGTTCTAATGGGGGGAAAAGCAACAACAGATGGATAATGTAAGCAGAGAGGTGGAACCTCTGATAATCCAAGGAATTCCAAGAAAAGTCAAGAGGTTATTTAGAAATAAAAAAAAAAACAGCATAGCACAAATAAAGAATGACTGTAAGAGACTGCAATAAATTGGACATGGCTAGGGAAAGGATCAGTGCATTCAAAGAAATGTTAATAGCAATGTCTAAGACTTAAAAGTCAGAAGAAAAAGAAATTTAAAAAGAGGAAGTGAAAATCCAAGAACTGTGAAATAATTCTAGATGGCAATGTCATAGCATATATGTAATGGGAATACCAAGAGAAAAAGGAGGAGGGAAAATGTTTAAAATAATGACAGCTGAGAATTAATGACCAACACTAAACCTCAGATCGGGAAACTCAGAAAACACCAACCAGGATAAATACCAAAGAATTTATATCTTGTATATAGTATTTAAGCTGCAGAACATCAGACAAGTAGAAAAGATCTTGAAAGAAATCAGAGGGGAAAAACACTTGACCTATATAGAAATGACTGTAGGTATTATACCCGACATCTTGCAAGCTAAAAGAGATCAGAATGAAATATTAAACATGGAGAAAAATACCCACAATGAATCTCTGCCTACAGAAATTATCCTTTAAAAGTGAGAGACCTATGACTCAATATCAAAAAAATAAAAATCAACAAAGAGCTTGACCATACATTTTCACACACACACAAAAAACCATACAAATGGCCAATGGAAATAAGAAAATGTGCCCAATGTCACTAATCACCAGAGAACTGCTAATCAATTTTACACTAGGATATCATTTCACATCTGGAAGGAAGTCTTTCTATAAAATAATAGAGCACTATTAGCCAGGATGTGGAGAACTGAGAATGCTTGTACATTTTTGATAGAAATGTAAAATAATGCCACCACTATGGAAAATACTATGGGGATTTCTCCACAATTTTTTTTTTTTAAATAGAATGGCGAAATGATCAACAATCCTACTTCTCGTCCTTACCCAAAAGATTTGAAATCAGGATCTAGAAGAGCTATTTGCACACGAATGTTTATGGCAGCATTATTCACAAGCTACAACGTGGAGGCAGCCTGAATGTCCATCTACAGATGAACAGATAAGGGAAATGTGGCATATACACAATGGAATTCAACCTTAAAAAGGGTGAAAAAATCCAACATGTGCATCCTCATCAATGTGCCTCCAGACATTAGGCCAAGTGAAACAGGACAGCAGAAGGGACAAATACTTCAGGATTCCACTTTTCAAGAGGTATCTGAAGCAATCAAGCGTACAGAAACAGAAAGCAGAATGGTGGTTGCCAGGGTCTGGGGGTGGAGGGAATTGGGGAAATGTTCAAAGAATACAAAATTCCAGTTATACAGGAAAAATAAATTTAAGAGATCTAGAGTACAACATGGTAGAAGCAAAAATAACCAAAATGGGGCACAGACCTCAAAGGATCAGCAAGCTTTCTTTATGAAGCGGTGGAATGACAGAGAGAAAATGACAATTATTAACAAACTGGGTCTGGTTTTTAGAGGGTTTAAGTGAGATTGGATCAGAGGAGAACATTTAGTGTGACTTAATCGTTAGAGACTTGATTATAGCAGAAGATGATGGTTGGGCTGTCAGGAAAAGAGTTGTAGATGGGGAAGAGCCCCTTGTTTTTCTTCTCTCCCAGGGACCCGGTGTCCTCCTTTCTCCCTGGGGTTGTTGGTCCCCTTTTCCCCTGAGGGTTGTTGTTTTCCTTACCCTTCACATGTTCACCACAGTTAATAGCAGTATACTGGGTACTTGAAAATTGTTAGAAGAGTGGATTTTAGGCCTTCTTACTGAGACAGGGCAAAGGACAGGTAGCTTATTATCAAAGAAAAGGAAATAAGTTGCCAACAGCTAACCTCTGGATAGCTCTTCCCTGCTCAACAGGTTGTTAACACATCTGGCACAAGCAATTACCCACTGGGGCTACACTTTTCCTGCCTTTTGGTCACACAGGAAGGAAGGAAAGGGTGGGGTCTATAAAAAGACAAGATATCCCATTCTCAGGAGCACACCAGCTCTGGGGCTTGGCTTCTCTCTGGAGAAGTCTGTCTCTCTGTTCTATCTTTTAAATAAAAATTGTTTTCTGTGCTTGCCTCAGCATTGCACAGGTGTCTAATCTTCAATACCAGGGTAAGGAGGATTCGATCCTGATAGCTACAACGATTATCACTACCACAAAAATATAAGTATGTGAGGGAGGTAATACCTATGCTAATTTACTTGATTTAGCCATTTCAAGATGTAGACATATTTCAAAACATCATACTGCACATCATGCATAGTTTTTAATTGCCAAATAAATTAAATTTAAAAAATTTCAATATTGTAGCAGAAATATTTTGTAATAAAGGAAAATAGCAGAATCTATTATTAACATAGATTCAAAAAGCCTCAACAAAATATTAGTAAATAGAATCCCACACTATATAAAAAGAATTACGCATTTCAACCAAGTAGGTTTTATTCCAAGTATGCAAGGCTGGTTCAACATTTAAAAAGCTATTAATGTCATTTATCACATCCACAAGTTAAAGGAAAGCAATCAATGATTTTTATCCATTATGAAAAAAGAATTTGAAAAAATTAAATCCCAGTTCATGGGGGGAACAACTCTCAGTGGACTAGAAAATCGCTCAATGGATGCAGAACATGAACCAAACCAAACAAAACAAAAAACTTACAACTAAAATTATATTTAATAGTGAGAAATTATATGCTTCCTGTTATCCTCATCATCCTGTTGAATTATTTCTAGATTAAATATGATACCTAACTTGATGTGTATGCTACATAAATACTTGTCATACTGTGTTGTTTAGGGAAGAGTGCCAAGTACAAAACGTGTACTTGTTCAGTATAAATTTTCAGTATACTATTTCAAATATTTTCTATCAGTAACTGGTTGAATCCACAGATACATAAGTCATGGATAAAGAAGACCTGGTGTCTGTGAACCTTAAAGGAAAAACTAAAAGAAGGAAAGATATCACTAAAATGCATGTAAGAAGGACAAAAGAAACAGAATAGAATTTGATGACAAGGAGTTTTGGGTTTTGGAGGGGAGCACTTCAAGAATGCTTATGACTTACAATAAAGAAAGTGGAAATTTCAGATATTTAAACCGAAGAAGACAGAAATGATAATCTATAAAACAACACCCCTAGAGCAAGCAGGGGATAAGATCCAAAACAGAGGTATGGGGAGGCACCATTCTGGCCAAAGTAAATGTTAGTCAATTACTGACAAATAGACAGTGGAGAGTGACCAACGGGGTCAGTGGCTCTCTAGGACTCTGGAGTCTCCTATCTCTTTAAATATTATTCATGCAAATCCACCTAGTTCCATTTTCTACTACCTGTATTTTTTCCATTACCCATAAAATGATTGCCATGTATCAACCCCATTCATGACTTTGAAACATTTTTCTATCCAATTACTAATCGTGCTAGACTTTACCACAGAAACTTTTTCATTTACCCAAAGTCCACCAGTGGATAATACCATTAAAGAAAATAAGGAATGATAATTAATAATGTAATGATAGATTGCTCAAAACAATTACAAAGCTTGCTTTGAATCTATTCTTATTCTAACTAATCTATAACATGAGGTCAATTTACTAGGTCTGGAAAGCCCTAAGCCACTTAGTGAGACCCTATCTCAAAATAAAAAATAAAAAGAACTGGGAATGTGGCTCAGTGGTTAAGTGCCCCTAGGTTAAATTCCCAGTACCAAAAAAAAAAAATGTTACGGATCAAATGTTACCCAGACAAAAGAAAAATTGGCTCACTAGTCATAGTAACTCATTAAAAGTTGGACAATGGAATCATTTTCCTGGCAAATGTTTCTCCTCCTGAAAACTGGAAGGAACCATTTTAATCAAAGCCAAGATAAAAAATAACTTCAGCATGCTCTATTTGAGAATGTCAAGTAAGCAAAACATTTACTGGACTAAACTTGTCTTCATTAGTATAAATATGTGCCAGGCTAGTTAACAGTCATCTGTGTCAACATTGCCATCACCAAAATTAAATTCTTCTTTGATTTGATAGAGTTTGGAGATAAATTCTTTCACACACAATTATGTGTGATTTTAGTATTTTTCTAATGATGGTCATTTTCTTTGATAATCCTTATTTAATAGCTAAAATTTTATCTATAATCTTTCAATATTTAACCATTCAAAACTCAAAGTATGATTCATTATATAAAACTACTTTTAAATACAGAGTGTTTACTGTTTAGATTTTAAGAACTGACTTTTGGAGAAATGGAGAGAAAGCAGATCAGAGGAATCCACAAGACCTCAGCAGCTCACCAAGAGTGAACTCCAACAGCTTCTCCGCCATGGCAAACTGAGAGGTAGGAAGATTGTGGGAAAACTCAGGGAGGTCACTCAGTGAGCTAGCAACCTGGTGAAAACCAAAAATCTCACTTCCTAGAATAGAAAGAGAATCAATACAAGCAGTAGAAGGCAAGTATGTTGTGGAAACTCCTCTCCAAGGAGCCAAAGGAAATTCTCCCACCCAGTTTAAGAAAAAACAGACAGCTGCTATCCAACAAGTTCTCAATCCCAGCAGAAAATTCGCTCAGAAACAGTGAACAGAGCCTGCACAAGAGAAAGCCCTGGCACTCCCTAGCAGAAACAGTTAAAGCAGGGAAGCTGCATAAAAACAGACACACAGAATGGAACAGAAGAGGAGATAAAGAGATACACCCACACAGTGTCATCTAATCTTTGACAAATGTACCAAAAACATACTTTTGAGGAAAAAAAAATCTTTTAGACAAAGGGTGGTAAGAATACTGGATATCTACTTATACAAGAAAAAAACTAGATCCCTATCTCACCCTGCACAAAAGCAACTCAAAAGTGTTCCAGAAACCTAGAAATTAAACCAGAAACTTTGCAATTGCCAGGAAAAAAAAAAAGTCAATGTCCCCAAATTTAGGCACTGGCAACAACTTCTTCAAAAAGCCTCCTAAACCACAGGAAACAAAAGCAAGGTTAATAAATGGGATAGAATCAATTTTAAAGAAAAAAATTTCTTCACAGCAAAGGAAACAAATACATAAAGAGAACCTACAGAATAGGATAAAATCTTTGCTAGCTACTTTTGTGATAGAGGATTAATATCCAGAGTTTTTAAAAAGACTCAAAGAAAACCTTTAGCATCCAAAAACCAAATAACCTAATCAATACATGGGCAAATGAACCAAGCAAATATGTCTCAAAAGAAGAATTAAAAATGACCAGGGGGAACAAGGAGGGGAAGGAAAGGTAAAAAATGGGGGAACAATATGGACCAAATTAAATTGTTACATCATGTGCACATGCAAATATGTAATAACAAATCCTACTATTACGTATAATCACAATGTACAAACAAAAATGTGGGAAAACTTCAGGTGAAATGATTAAAAGACTTTAAACAAAGAAAAGAAGAAATACAAATCTCTCAACAAATATATGAAAAGAATATTCAACATACTTGGCAATCAGGGAAATGAAAAGCGAAACTACACTGAATTGCATCTCACTGCAGTTAGAATGGTGATCACCAAGGGTACAAATAATAATAACTACTGGTGAGGGTGTGGAGGAAGAGGAACAGTTATACATTGTTAGTGGGACTGTAAATTAGTACAATCACTAGGGAAATCAGTATAAATTACCTTAAAAGACTAGGTATGGAACCACCACATGACCCAGCTATACCACTCCTCGTTATTTATCCAAAGAACTAAAGTCAGCATTCAGTAGTCATACATGCATACCCATGCTTATAGCAGCACAATTCATAATAGCCAAGTTATGGAATCAACCTAGGTATCTATCAAGTGAAGAATGGATAAAGAAAATGTGGTATACATACACAATGGAGTTAAACTCAGCCATAAAGAACAAAACTATGTCATTTTCAGGAAAATGGATGGAACTGGAGAACACCATGTTAAGTGAAATAGGCAGAATCAGAAAGTCCAGGGTCATATGTTTTTCTCTAGTGTGTGGAAGCTAGGGAGAAAAAAGGAAATAAAAATGAGATCTCACAAAAATACAAGAGAGACCAGTAGATCAGATGAAGGTGGTCAGGAGAGGGAGAAGGAGAGATAAAAGGAAGATACTAGAGAATGAAACTGGAAAAATTATGTGCATGTAAAAATAGATCACAAGGAATCCCAGTATTACATATAATTATAATGCACCAATAAATAAGTAAAAAAAACTTTTGCTTTTGAACTATTCCTATAAAAGTAACCAATAAGAAACCACATTTGTTTAAATGTAGATTTTTAAATATTTTTTCCTTTTGTAAAATTTATTTCGGACTGGGGTTACGGCTTAGTGGAAGAGTGCTTGCCTCACATGTGTGAGGCACTGGGTTCAATTCTCAGCATTGCATATAAATAAATTAATAAAATAAAGGTCCATTAACAACTAAAAAAATTTTTAATTTATTTCAACATGAGGAACTGGAAAATTACCATGGGCTAGATCCATAGCTTTAGTATCAGAAAGGGAAACATAATGTGAACATAAAACTTACACCCAGGTCCAAAGTAGAGCTCAACAGATAAGAAGCACTGGTCTTCACAGAGCCAAGAGAGAATAAACCAGGAAGCCAGAGACACAAGGAAAGAAGCCAGGATCAAACCAGAGAAAATCTCCAGGCAATAGAGAAAAGATATCAAATTCAGAGCAGTTGCAGAACACTTCTCTGACAGGATTGCTAGCTGCTCCAAAGTGTTTATTGTTCCTGAGTCAAGACATTCTGGAGGCATTTAAAGGGTTAGTATGGCCTAGGGGAAAAAAAAGTGATGGCAGAGATTAGTACTTCAAATCCACAGAAACAAAATTATTTTTTCTTTCTATAAACAGCTTTATCCAGCTTTTTTAGAGATAAATTTAAAATTCCGAAAAATAAACTTCTTTCAAATATTTCTAAACTTCTCTGGGATTCTTGAATAAAATTAATTGAAAATGAAATGCTTTCATTTACTCGCCAAAGGCTATTTTTCAGATACTATTAGAATCAGGAATATAGACAAGAGATAAAAATTTAAGAAGGGGGGAAAAAAACCTTTGGATATTCAATGATTCAGTCTCATTCACTCCTTTGTTCATTCATCATTTACTTGCTGAATAATTACATCATGAGTAATGTATGGTGCTAAGTGCTTCAAGTACACTGAGTGGCAAGGCAGCGGGGCAATCCCTTCCCACAGGGGTTTATAGTCCACCAGGAAACAACAGCATAGCAGGGGCTGTACATGCTGTTCAAGGACTCATAATGGCTCCTGTCCTCAATACTCTGTAAAAAAGATGGCCAGGGAAGGCTGTCCAAGAATGAAATCAAACTAGTATTTAGGTAACGTTTCTAGGCAAAGATGAAAAAGATTGTGAGAACGAATCAGAGAACGATGTTTTAGACAAGTAGAAATAAATAAGATGAACTGAAGATAAGAATCCTGTGCATTTAAGGAACCAAAAAAAATATACTCATTCATTTATTCAACAGGTATTTATTCAACCCTAAGGTGGCTGGAAAGATGCCAAAGGCAAGACAAGCAAGATCTCTAGTCTACCATTTACATCTGGGTGGGACAAGGTCCATTCAAGAAAGTTAAAAAAAAAAAAACCCTACAAAGTCTTGAGGTATTTGAGGAACAAAAAATGAATGGAACAAAGTGGCTGTAATGAATTGGCCAAGAGCAAGGGGGACCTGCAAGGAGGTGACATGTGGGCAGGAACCAGATCCAATGGGTTCTGTTAGCCAGAGTAAACATTTTTCTATTTTATGTACCACCAAATGATTTGAGGCAGTAATGGTATATAATATGATAGACATTTTTTCTAGGATTTCTCTGGCTATTGTGTCAGAGATAAACCACCAGGTGAGAACAAAAGCAAGGAAATCAGTTAGAGGCTAGTGACATTCAGTCATTCAGAGATAAGGGTGTTTTGTTCTAGAATGGAAGCAGGAGGATAAGAAAGAGTGACCTGCATTTTGGATACAGTTTTGGAGATACAGTTGACTGCATTTGTCAATGAGTCAGTCCACAGGCTCAAGGGGGGATGGGCAGAATCAAGGTTAACACAGAGCTCTAAATGGCTGGGATATAAACTGGGTGATAAGGCTGTGGTGAAAGATGAGGCTGGGGAGAAAATAACCAGTTTATGAGAAATATGTATGTCCTGGCAGAGCCTAAATACTGATACCAAGAGTAATGAGAATACTTTCAAAGATTTAGGCATAGATCTTTTTTTGAGTTGATACAACATGTTTGAAAGATCACTGGGTGGTGGTGGGGCGTTGGGATTCTAATTCAAAATAGCTTTGAAAACTAAGATACATAGAGAAAAATCCTAAAAAAATTTCAGCAACTTCTTTATAGGAAAATATAAATCATTATTAGAGAAGATAAAAGAAGACCTGAATAAATGGTGAGAGGTACCAAACTCATGGGTTAGAAGATTCATTGTTGTAAAGATTTTTGTTTTCTCCCAAGTTAATAAATTCAGTGCCATTCTAATCAAAACCCCAAAAGGTGTTTGTTTGTTTTTGTTTGTTTAATGTACCTTAGAAATATGATTCCAAAGTTCAAAAGATGGAAAATCCCAATAATAGATAACATTATTTAGAAGAAAAGAATCATGTAGGAGGACTTCTCCTTCTATCAAGACCAAAAAAAAAAAAAAGAGTTGTAGTAATTAAACTATGTGTTAATTGCCAAGAGAGAAATAGGCTTGCTTAACAGAGAGCTCAGAAACAGACCAGGCATAAAGGGAAAAAATAGGGATGACAAAAAAAAAAAATCTGTGAGGAAAATGGCTTAGTTAACATATGGTAATGAGACAACTACTTATTCCTGTGGAAAAAGCAAAATAAATTTAAATCTCAACCTTATGATATTCAGTTATCTGGGGGAAAAGGACACAAGGGCTGCTATATTTGAGGCTTGGTGGCAGAAGTTGAGGATGTCCTCACTCGACAGCTTCTTTTTTTCTGTGGGATAACACCACCCAACAATACTGAGAGCAAAAGAGAAAGAAAAACATGTTTGAAAAGAAGGAAATTTTTGCAAGTTGTGGGAAATAGGAGGGAAGAAAATGTCTAGGCAAATGTAGTTGAAATTCTAAACAGTGCTAAAATACCGTGTATGTTTGGAGACTGAATTTATGGAGGCACTCATCTTGGAGTTATGCAACTTTCCAACAGTCTTTTGTTGGAGAAATTTGTTTTAAGTTGCTTATCACAGTCTAGGGAATGAAAAAATAGGTTCAAAGGACTTAGGGATTATATCAAGAGAGGGGTCAAAGTAAAGGAGCAGGAACTACAAGCTGGTCAGAAAAAAAGTAAACACAGGAGGACACACACACACACAAAATAAATATAAATCACCCCAAGGACCTAAATGTCTCTTCATTTTTTAAAC